CTACCAAACAACCATCTGGCCATCGTTAGTAGACCTAATTTTTTGAATAAACACAATAAATATCAAGGTCAATTAGGACACATTTTTTTTTTTTAGTATGGATCTTTGTTTCTGTTTGTGGATTTGCCTTTTATTTGCCTTACCGGTGTTTGTACTGTCACTCTGTTTTTTTTTTATATTCAAAAAATGTTGTCAAATTCCTTACAGGTTCGAGTGGGTTCTTTGCGCGTGTACTCAGAAACGGCACTAGGTCAATTTGTGTTTTAAAACCATGTACGAGAACTGACCATGGCAAAATGAACAGCAATGGCCAGGTTCTGGCCATGGTTTATAAAACAATTGCACCGTGGACAGACGAATTCATGGGCAAGAAGGCTTCCATGGCCACATCGTTCCATAAATCTGTGGACAAGAAATGACCATGGCAAGAAGGCACAATGGTTGTGCCATTGCGTTCGAGTACAGAATCCAGGAAAGTTGCTCCTGTTTCTTCAAAACCTACTCCTGCAAAATCAGCTGAAAAAAGAAATAGAGGTTAGATTTTAAAATTAATTCTGATCTTTGGTCAACTGTAGGTCAATTGTTCTACAGAGTCACTATACAGAAAGTGTCCATAGCTGAGGAAAAGGATGACTGTGATGATGAGCCAAATGCAGGTTCTGGAAAATTCTGTACCGGGGAGGAGGCAACTGTTTCGACAATTCCCATTTCAGCGTCAACATCGTCGTCACAGCAAAAAAGAAAAAGAAATGTAGCAATGTAAAGGAAAATTTTAGGTTAGGTTGTCAGGAGAACTTTTCTCGTGCATCTCAGGAGGTCAAAATTTGAGATTTCTGCGGCGCAAAAGCGCGGGGGCAATGTTAGCAACCCAGCAGGTGGAAAATCTTTCACTAACTCTGGAGTCAGCTGACCATGGTTCAGAAGATCTGAGGAGCTTCGTTGACAATCAACTTCTGGTTGATAATCTGGCTGACCATGGTTCTGCTGTCATGATAGTCACCTCCAAAGAAGGAAGTACATATGCTAAACTATGTTATAAGAAAAGTTCTGTTTTTTTTGGTTGTTTTTTTTTCAGTTTTTCTTGTTTTTTTGGTTGTCTGAATAATCCAACAATTTCAACTATCCAGAAATATAGTAGTCATTTTGTTTTTGTAAATTTGTTTTCACTCAAGTTGTTTTTATTGGCTGAGCGATTAGCGAAGCCTATTACTCCACTGATGATCAAAAAGTTTCGCGTCTGTCTGTCTG